CAGCCCCAGGCCCAGCAGGCCCCAGAGGAAGGGGCTCCTCCGGGTCGAGCCGCGCCGGGCTTCCATCGCCTCGCAACCCTGGGCGGAAGTGACGCGCGGGCGCGAGAGGGCGGCGGCTTCCGGAAGCCGCCTTTCCAGTCTTGACGCCCACAAAGGGCGGGGGGAGCAGCAACCTTATTCCGTAAAAAGGTTGGGGCTGAGGGCGGGCGGGGCGAGGCGAGGCGGCGGCGGCCAGATTTCTGGGCTGCAATAAATCACTTGGGGTGGGTGCAGCTCAGAAACCGCGGGCTGTTCAAAACCGTCTCTCCAGATGGGGAGAAGGGAGAGTGGCGTTAATTCGTTTTATTTATTGATTTATCATATTCGTATTAACACCTGCGCCTCCGTGGAAGCGCGCGTGAAGCCGAGGACACAAATCACGGATAGCAATAATCATAATTCTTAGTTTCGCGTGGATGAAAAGCTGCTTTCGTAAGAATAGCGTTTGCTGTTCTTTATCGAAGTCTGGTATAAGGCGGCTTCCTATGTCCCGAAGGGCAAATAGGTGCTTAGATTCCCTCGGAAAGGGAGAATAATTATACTATCCAAGCTAGACCCAAAGGGTAATCTCTCATACTCCTGTGAATTGTTCGGACTTTTTACAAGAAGCAGGAAAAAAAAATGAAATTATGATGTATGGATTCAATGACTAGAAATAATAGTGGATAACGGACAAAAATGAAAGCTACGTTGTAAACGCAGAGTAAGAGTTTAGTGTAAATTTAAACTTGTATCCGTTGTGAGGAAAGTCGGAAGTCATTCTAATTTGTATTTTCTCTTTTTTCTTTCTTTCTGCACTTTCGACTTTGTTCTCTTTCTCTTTCATTCTTTCTCTTCTCTATTTTTAATACTAGCTTTTGTTGGTTTTTACTTGGTTGATTTTGAAACCTAATAAAGTTATTTGAAAATCAAGTACTCCTCTGAATTGGAAAAAAAGAAACAAAAAATAATCATGGATATTCTTAACAATAAGCAGGAAGGAAATACGGAACAAGCACACCCCTTTGGGTTTTAATTGCATTTAAAGGCATTTTCCAAATGTCGTCTTTTTGTAACAAGCCAAGTAACAGAACTCATACCTAACATCATACTCGAGGTATACAGAATAAATACCTAACACCATACTCAAGGAATGATTGATTAGGGAGCATGTCTAACTAGGGAGTATTTTCAGCTTACTTCAGCCTCTGTAATTCATGGACAAAGACCGCATCATTTTATTTTACTCTCCTCTCAGTCCCATGCGTGTGACCGTCGCTATGTGGCAGTCCAGATCCTACTAAGATGGTCTCCCACAAGGAGCTACTATCTTAAGTGCAAGTTCTAGATCAGTTAAGGTTACTTTGCTGGGGGAAAGGTTCTTCTGTTCCCACTGATGCTGGTAGTTCAGGCAGAAGACCCTGAGTCCCAACTGGTGAATGTCTCAAGGCAGAATAATCTATCTTAGGCACAGTTCTCTGCTTGATGGTGAAGTGACGCATCTTCAATCATCTGTTAGTCGCAGAAGGGTCCCAGAGGTCGTTGGCACACTAGAGCAAAGGAGAAAGAGGTCATCAAAATTAAGAGCAAGAAAGAATCATAGCCAAACTGCATGAAATGGTGGGAAAAGAAATACAGTAAAACTGCATATTTATTTTCTGCTTCTCAGTATCTGATGCTGAGTTCAGATGTTCAGCAGGGCTAACCCACATGAAAGAGAATGGCCCTTGATGCAACAAGGCAATTATTTAATCATTAAAGCCCTCTGGGGAAGGTCAATATTATCATCCCCCCAGTGTAATCAGAACATTGAGGAGCGGGTTGCAACAATACTCTTCCATTCATAGCAAAGCAACATCTGAAAGTGAGGCTTCCTAGCTGAAATCTCCATAGTTATGTTATACTACAGTGTCTCTCAACCTTGGCAACATTCAGATGTGTGGACTTCAAGTCCAAGAAATTGAAGTCCAGAAAGCTAAGAGTTGCCAAAGTTGAGAAACACTGATTTACAAAGTTTCCAATGTGTTCTATATTTATGGAATTTACAACCATCTTTTTTAGTCATGAGTACATAACATGGGATCCTCCAGATGTTGCAGAACTGCATCTCCCAGTATACCCCACCTCCCCACTATTGATCAAGCTGGGTGGGTCTGTTGAGAGAAGTCTGGGTATAATTCGGGGAGACCACTTTAATAATTATACTGCTCTGGCTTTGACTCGGCTAAAATATAGAGTATCAGGGTGGAGCTTGTTGGTTTGTTCAATTTCCCTTTCCCCCATCCCCAGTTCCTGTTATACAGGTAGTCCTCGACTTACAATGACAATTGGGACTAGAACTTCCATCGCTAAGTGATGAGATCATTAAGTGTGTTGTGCCCGATTTTATAACCTTTTTTGCCACAGTCATTAAGCGAATCACATGGTAGTCAAGTGAATCCAAGTTTCCCCATGGGCTTTGCTTGTCAGAAGCCCCCTGGGAAGGTTGCAAATGGTGATCATGTGGCGCCGGGATGCTGTAACCATCATAAATACATACTGGTTGCCAAGCGCCCAAATTTTGATTACATGACCATGGGGATACTGCAACAGTCATAAGTGTTAGGACCAATCATATGTTACTTTTTTCAGCACCATTGTAACTTCGAATGGTCATTAAACAAATGGATGTAAGTTGAGGACTACCTGTATCAACATTCCAATCTGAGGACTGGGTTCTTTGGGGTAGGGAAAGAATAAATCATTTTACTTGGTTTGTGAGAAGGTCAAAAATCCAAATTGTGTATGTTCCTGGAAGTTGTAAACAGGAGGGAATGGGCAGAAGAGAAGAAACAGGAGTCTAATACCAGTCAACCAGCTGGGCTCCAATGATATCATGAATATGGTAGGGAAGGCCGAGTTTCACAGCACTTGGCGCTTGGCGGCTCTGCAAATCAGACAGTAGGACTTCCTTGTACTTGGATTTCTGGATCATACCCAAGACAGCTTTCCTCCCTAAGAAGAAAAGAAAGGTCAGGGAACAGCTCCTTTCAGAAACACTCTAGCAGTAGACTAGAACACAGAACTGGCCATCCTGTAAGGCAAGGTAATGGAGAAGGGTTTTTTTTTTCCTGCAGTAGAAGTGATTCAGTTTGCAAAAACAAACACCAAAACGAAAGAGCCGCCCTAAGTTATAATGGCTCCAAGAATTTAAAAATACTCAGAAGTCTCTCACACCTAAGGAACTGAAATATATTTGCCAGTTCTGGGTGCGAATTTGGAACTTGATTAGTCTAGTGAAATCTTGAAGGTTTTAAGAGACACAGGCAAGGTTCCTACATTGCTCTAAGTCACAATGTGATTCGTTTACTTGCGTCTCAGCACAATGTATGAACCCAGCCAACAAACTACAGCTAAACAAACTTTTATCAACACACCTTTGATGAAGGATTTGATGAAGCGGCCTGCTCCAGGCACGGCTAGCCACCAGCTCCCAGCGTCACGGACAGTCAAGACTCCAGCATTCACCAGCTGCCTGAAGAAAAGGCAAAAGTAAACGTCCACTGTGATTTATTTGTTCCCTGACCATCAAAATGTAGCTGATTCATAGACTGACAGGGATCTCTGAAGAAAAATGTGCTTTTGGTTTCTTGTATCAGCACAAATCATTGCCTTTTCTGCAGGTGCCGGATCTTAGTGCTGAACAAGGTAAGCCTGCAACTTCTTCCACAATCAGGCATGATGGTTCATCAAGGACTTAAATAGGCCTACAGATGCTACATATGGCAGATTGCTTCATTTGACTTTCTAGGGCACACGTCGTGATTTTGCCCTCCTTCTCCTTATGATCTAGGGTAAACCTACCAAGGAATTAAGCCTTATTTTAAGAGGAGGACTTTATATTAAGCAAAAACACATAGGATTCACTGTTTAGAAGATCAACGAAACCCATTAATGTCTTTAAAAGATGCTACAATTAATTCAGCAAGCCAATTTACAAAACACAGCTATTTGCATTTTTATACTCATATATTCATACCTGGGGTGGGGGGGGAGTAGTGGACATTATTTTAGAAGACCCCCCCTTCTCCTGTTTTCAAACGGGATGAAAATGGCTATTTATTCCAGAAAATAGTACATAGTTAAGTTATGGCATTTAATGCCACAGTCAACAAAAGGACATAAAATACTTTCACAAAGGGTTAAGTCTGTTAATGGCTGTATTATGACAACCATATATTACCTCTGGGATCAGTGGCAGCATTCTTTGAGTACCAGTTACTGGGAAACAATAGAAGATGTCAGCCTTCCGAGGTAGTCCAAACCAGAAGTACAACCGTGAGTAATAACTGTATCTTTATTGTAAGGTTATACAAGCAGAATCTTGCAAGTCTGAATGCACCCCTCCCTTCCTTCACTTTTACTCTCCCGATAACTCAGGAGGGTCCCTTCCGAGACACTTTTTCCAGCCCTCCTCCTTCGGACTCAAATTCCATTTATCAGACCGTTTGCTAGCCTGCGTCTCTTCCTCCTGCCTCCCAGGGTTATTCCCATTACAGAAAATGACTGTCCTGGTTTGAGTTGTCTATGAGAACCCCGAGGTATCGAGTTAGCCACTGGGGGAAACAGGACCCTGATGAGACAAGACTGTGACTTGATTCCGCCAGATTCATGTTCATGTTCCAAAAGGTGCCTGCTGTGACATGTGCATGCATTCTCAGAAAGCAGAGAAACCAGGCTTATCTGTCTTTAAATCACAAGCAAAACTATACAGCAGTGTTTCTCAACCTTTGCAACTTTAAGATATGTGGACTTCAACTCCCAGAATTCCGTAGCCAGCATGGCTGGGTAGGGAATTCTGGGAGTTGAAGTCCACATATCTTAAAGTTGCAAAGGTTGAGAAACATTGCTATATACAGTTACATTGATTTAAAACACACGTACACACAAATTAATGGGTGAGTTTAATTCGGCAAAAGTCCAAGCAGATATAACAGTGAAAGGAGGAAAAAAAATTGTCATGGGACAGCAGGCAAATTGGCAGCCCCGGGACTCATTCTTTGCTTACGTGATTTCTGTGTCACTAAAGCTGAAGTCTCTCAGCATCCTCTTTTTGTCAAAACTGATGTCAGGGCAGGAGGTAAGCACCGAATCTAGGAACTTCTTCACCGTCCTGGCAAACTCTTTCCCAGATATAAACTCCTGCACCTGGGGCCAAAAAGAAGATGAATAATAAATATAAATCGCCAGCTTGCCAGCGCTTCTGCACTCCCACTCCATCCGCGCATTTCTTTGGCAGCAGCAAACCTTAGATACGTAGCTGTCCGTGAACGCCACCACAAAAAAATCCGCTTCAAAGCTGTGCTGAAACATGCGGATCCGGCCCTCATTTTTCAGCTGGCTCTACAGAGAGAAAAGAGTTTCCTAATTCATTTCCAAAATCGGACATGGCAGGCAAGTTTTGAGGAAGGGGCAAAGTGAAGCAGAAAACACACTTTGAGAGGAAACCCCTGCGTCTGCCCAACCATGTGGCAGGGAGAAACAGCAATGATGTTTTGTTATCCAGACACAAAACAAAACCAACCCAGCTTAGAGTTGAGTTCACACAATAAACCCGTGGTTTGAGTTCATGCACTTTCTGGATTCCCCCAATGCGCTGAACCTAAAGGCTTGGCTTGCATGACTGAGAGCTATTAAAAAAAAACAAAAACTAAGGAAAGCTAAAACTAATCAAACCTAGGATATACTGCAGTTGTGGTTGTGATCTTTATGAATCTGCCATTGTGATGAAAGTCATTTGGGTACCCTTCCTTTTTCTGGAAGGCATATGCCCTTTTCCTGCCAGTACCTTCAAAGCTTTATTTCACTGGGATACTGAGAATGAAGGAGGGGAAGGGCAATCCTCAGTGAAAGTCAGTGGATTTCCACTTTTCCTTCATTATATTAGAAAGCCAAGAACTGTAAACCGCCCAGAGTCCCCCATTGTGGGGAGATGGGTGGGGACAAGCCTACTAAATAAATAAATAATAAATAAATAAACTGCTTATCTGGGGCTCCCACTTCTCTCCCTTCCAGGCAACTTGGCTGAACTGGCAGGTGGAGGAAGATTGGACTTGAAGCTGATAAAGCTCAACATCAGAAGACTTGTCTTCGGGTGAGCCATGCAGCAAAGGAGCAGGGTTTTTTTCCCCTGCACACACCACATCCCCGTGGTGAGAGGTCTCAGGTTGTGAGGAGGCTAAGTCATACCCCCATCTTCTCTTCCAGAGTTCTAACCCTCAGAAGCTTGTTGTAATGCTTTCAGGAAACTTCTTGGGGAAAAAAAAAATCTCGCCTGTTTGGGATAGTCTGGATACCATCTTTGATGTAGAGTCAACTATGGAGGTGTCTAGACACTTTTCTTGAATAGGTAAGAGTGGATCAGTGGACATGAACTGGCTGCTTGGAGTGGTGCATTCTACCACTTGTCCACTGGAACCATGTCCAACTTGGCTTGGAGCTTCCATTTGGGAGAGAGGTAGAGGTGCCTTAGCTAACATCTTGAGAGAAGATGCTAGAGAGGATGCTTCTTGGTTTATATAAGGCAATTATTAGACCTCTTCTTAAGAAGCCTGTCTTAGACCCCCCCCAAAATGGGCAATTATTTAATTAATTTATTTATTTATCACATTTTTATAGCCACCCATCTCACACAAAGCAACTCTGGGAGGCATACAATTGAATAAAATAACAAATGGATAAAAACAAGCATGATAATTACAGGCCAATCTCTAATCTACCACCTTTCTGGCTTTGATTGGGCTGCTGTGACCACCATCTTGACTAAGGGATGTTGCTGTATGACCTGTATATCCCTGTTGATGCTGCTGTATGACAACCAGGGAGAAGTTTCTTACCAGATACCGGTCCACAACCGTACGATCCTTGACAAGACTGTAGATCTGATGCCTCAGAATTAAAGGTGGCAGAGAATCGTCAAATAACTTTCGAGGGAAGAGAGATACCAAATTCTGAAGAGCAGCTTCAACTGCTGCCGGGCCCTCTAAGAAAAGGAACAGTAATCTGAACTCAGAAGTCTCACCACTTAGCATTTCCTAGAAGACTCTCTCTGACGCTCTTTAGAAACTCCACCCTTCTCGTTAGCCAGCCCCATCAGGTACCTCGTGCATAGCATTTCACTCTTTCTCACCCTGTCCTGAAGGTTCTGACCCGAGAGCCACCCGTCGCTTCTTGGCCTTGAAAGTATCAGAGAGGAGCTGGCGCTTCCGCTTCATAGGGCTGGAGAGAATGGGGGAAGGCTTAAGTATAAAATGTATAATATCTTTATATTATATAATTATAATTATATAGTAATTATATCATATAAAATATTATATATAAGTACTATAATTATAAGACATAATAAGATACAAGATACAAGTATGTAACCAGTCTTTTGACTCTTGCTCATTTAGCTGTAGCGTTCCCCAAATCTTTTCTTTGTTATCCCCCATTCATTCTATATCGCTTCCCCTTTTCAAATTATTTCCTTTTGTTTAACTCATTGCTTTTCTTCCATGAAAACAGCTTCTATGTGGCTACCCACAAAACTATATCCCCTCTAATAACCCCATCTATACAGTTCCTTGATTCTCATTCCAGCAAACACCCTACAGACTTTTTTATATTTAAAATGGTCTCATGTAAATCTTTGGTCTTACGTACCCTCATGATTGCCTCATTTCTTTGGCATCTTTTTAAAACTGCTGGATTATATACAATATCAGACTGGCATTAAGCAAACTAGTTCTTCCCTTAAAACTTCACTATCACATCAGGAACAATGTAAGTTCCTTTATTTCGGTATGTCAGTTATGACATATGCAGATACAGGAAGGCTGTTATACTGAATTACACTGCTGCCCATTTTTTTGTATTTATTTTACAGGACTGCAAATTCTATTATGCTTTATTTTATTTCTGCTTCATTTCTTGGCTTTATATTCAAATATACATTGCCTCTTTCCCCTACCCCATTTTTATACAGCAAAGCCCAAAGAGCAAGAAATGCAGGAAAACGCAAGTAATGTATGGATCAATGTACATACAAAAAAGTTACGTTTAATAAGTGTAAGGAGTAGAAATTACCTTTTAACAAAACCTCTTAGTAACAAACTAAACTCCTTAATAACAAACTTCCTAGTAACAAGGCTTTCTGAGATTTAATGGTTAATGTGATTAGACTTGGAATTTGAATGTGTTTACAGAAAGGAAGGGGTCACACACACCAAGGTGAGAAATGGGGATGAAAGCTAAGGAAACAAGTGTTGCCTTTTATTGGTAAGAATGTGCGAATCAGGGAAGGAAGAAAAGATAACACAACAAACAGTTATTTAGTGAAGACAGATGGTCCTGGGCCTTGACACTTATCTCAAGAAAATTATAAACTGTGAACAAGAAAAAAAGGGGTTTGGCAATCATTGTATAATGTATTTGTTTTAGGCGTCTTGGATAGGTTGTGAACTCAGATTTGCCCCCCCCCAGGGCAAAAACGAGGCAGGACCAATGTGACTTGTGAAGGGATGCATAAAAACCTTGCTGAAATCTCTCATGGTGCGCTTCTTGCAGCCTGTTAGCTGAGAAGCGTCAGCCTTTGCAAATGCTTGGAAATAAACTTTGCCTTTTCAAATCCAAGAAGGATTATTTGTGCAGCTTTGTTTCTCACAATAAGACATACACGTTAATCCAGTTAGGAAGCCCTTAAGAAATCCAATAAAGGGAACAAAGTTCTACCACAGTTTATGCTGCATAATGAAATTATTAAGCTTTAAAGCAGGGGTCATCAACGTTCATCTGCATAGGGGCTAGAGGCCATGTCTGTGAGTGGGTGGCAAGCCATTCTCTCCCTGTCTCTTGGATGAACATACTTGGGAGGACTTTTTGGGGCAAACCATGAAGACACAGAGAGAACTGCTCCTGTCTGTGCTCCTGCACTCTGAAGATGCCGGTCACAGGTGCTGGCGAAACGTTAG